AATCTTTAAAAAAAATTATTACCCCACTAAATAGATAAGAAAACTAGACAAATAAGTTGGCCTTCCTCCAACACCTTAAAAGTAGTAAGTGGCAAGCCAGGATCCAAACCTAAACCATAAACATCCAACCTAATATTCTCTCCATTTCATCACAGCCCCCTTTGTTTTCTGCGTTAGCTGCCTGTCTTCTCATTTAACAACCAGTGTATTCACATAATTACAAATCTGGTACCATAACAAAACAAAATAATTCTAAGAACATGCCTGATTGCTAATTGACCAAAATTTCATTCTTTTTTTTATGATTTATTTATTTGAAAGATAGTGAGATAAAGAGAAAGATCTTCCACCTGCTAATTCGCTCCTCAAATGACAGAAATGGCCCAGGCTGGGCCAGGCCGAAGCCACGAGCCCTGAACTCCGTCAAGATCTCCCTTGCGGGTCCGAAGCATTTGGCCATCTTGCGTTGCCCTCCCTGGTATGTAAGCAAGGAGGTGGATCAGAAGCACAGCATGAATTTGAACCAGTGTTCATATGGGATGCTGGCATTGCAGGTGGCAGCTTAACCCACTGTGCCACTATGCTGGCCCCTGAATTTCTTTCTTGATATAAAATATTTTTAAACATTCAAGTCTTTAGTATGAGGCAAAGAACATTTTTCATGGTCTAGTTGAGTATGTTTACATTTGTCTTGATTTATCCTATGTGTTCAACTGATTTTATTTTTGTGCTTACAAATGCATGATAAAAATATGAATGATCAATATATAAACATCACAACAAAAAAATCTGTTAGCCTACATGAAAGAGGCTTGATGTACCCTTAGTGTTGATCAAAATCATAACAGCAGGAAAAGGCTTACCTTTTGTTAATGTGGACATTTTTCTTGGTAATTTTAAGTTTTTCTGTAGGTTGCCAGCATTGATTCTAACTATGAGTCACAACTGAAATCACTGTACAAATAAACAGAGGAGACACTGTCGAAATTTAGAGAGGCTAGCAGCATAGAAAGTGAGATGAAAAATTAGATATGTTAGCTCAAACAGAAAAAGGTATATTTTTATCCTTGTATTTTGAATAACTACAATTTTCTGATCCTTTTTTGTTCTTTTATTTTTTCCCAGTATTCAATTGCATTTTCAATGCAAATTACTGTATTATTTTCCAGAAACACTTTTTGTCCCTTAGTGAACTTATTCAACTAATTAATGATTTTAAAAAATTACTGAAAGCAATATTGCAAGAAATAATTTCCAAACTGAAATTTATACACTTGAAAGCTGATTCCTACAAAAATGATTTGGCTCTCTAAAAAAAGAAGCAATCTCTCAGCTCCATGGACCCAGCCCTGGGCCTACTAGGGTTTCTTTTTCATAGGAAATTACTGCTGTGATGGATTCTTGTTAACCCCAGGAGGAAAGAAATCCAATGGCACGGCCTAATCAGAGACCGAAACAGAATGTTCTGTTGTCTGAAATGATTATCTCTGTGTAATAGTTGACAGACAAGTTAAATGTGTTGGAATCAAGTAAAATATTCATTTTCCCTTTTACTTCACCAGGCTGCCACGCTTTAACTGAGTTATTGCTAGGTGCCTTTGCTTCCTCCGTTGCCTTTCCATGCTGATAATTGGATAGACAGTCCACATTTCTTTTCTCTTCAGATCCCTGGTGGAAAATTGTCTGCTGGTGAGAATTAATGCAGCCTGTCCTGTCTTCCCTGTCCACCACACTCCCTGCCCCTACCAGTCCCTCAAACAAGCCCATGCTGCTAAAACTTTGCTTTTTCCTCAAAAGCTCTCTCACCACCTCCACCCCTCCCCGCTGCTAGTGGCGAGGTAGAGACAACAGGAGATCTACGGCTAGCAGCTTTTTCTGCTGGTTTGTATTTCTTCGGGCTCCGATGGGTGTGTGATGGCTAAGTAGCAAGTTATGTATTTTTCCATTGAAAATGCACAACCTAAAAGCATTCCAGAAAGCTGTTTGTTTTTTTTTCTCCTCTTTTATTTACTTATTTGATTTTTAAAAGATTTACTTATTATTTATTTGAAAGGCAGACTGACAGAAAGAGGGAGAGATGGCGAGAGAAGCAGATATTCATTCTGCTGGTTTACTCCCCAGATGGCTGCAACGGGATTGGCCAGGCCAAAGCCAGGAGCCTGGAACTCCACTTAGGTATCTCACGAGTACAGGAGTCCAAGCACTTGGGCCATCTTTCAGTGCCTTCCCAAGTGCAATTAGCAGGGAACTGGATCAGAAGTGGAGCATCCAGGACTTGAACGGGCATCCAAGTGGTATGTGTGAATTGCTGGTGGTGGCTTAACTCACTGTGTCACAATGCCAGCCCCTTTTCCCCCTTCTTCCCAGGTTTATTAAACATGCAGATAAATTTTTTGAATGTCATAAATCCTTTTCCTCAATTTCCAATAGGAAATGTTTGTCATGTAATGCAACAGTGAACTGAGATCAACACCCATGAAGATAAATTTAAATGATCAATCACAACCTGGTGATTTTTTCATGGTTAGAATCAACTGTCCATTTAATTGTAGAGCAGTTAACTATGGGCTCTGGAGCCAGCCTGCCTAAGTTTAAAACCTGCCCTGCTCAGTAACTGGCTAGAAGACATAGAGCAAATTAAACGATCTACACCTATTTCCTCATTCTGTAAAACGAACGTAATAAAAGCACCCACTTCCTGCTTCCTACACTGAATGATTCTTATTAATGAGGTAATACAGGTAAAACCCCTAAAATATTATCTTTCATGGAAGTAGATCTCCACCAGTGTTACTTGTGGCAGTTTATAAGAATATTGTAAATGAAAAGATTTCTAACATATTATTCTTTAGTTTGTAGACACTGTGAAGGCACAGTTCAAGGAAAGCTTTTTCTTATGGCTCCGTGTTTATCTGATATAAGCTCTCAAATTAGTTTTTTCTCATTTTGTTTTTACTGTCCTTCAGGCTCTCATATCTTACTCCCCAGAACTGATAATAATATAGCACTTAGGAAAGAATGAAGCCCAGGTTAAAGACAAATTGCCACCAGAGCCGTGGCTCACTAGGCTAATCCTCCACCTGCGGCGCCTGCACCCAGGGTTCTAGTCCCGGTCGGGGCGCCGGATTCTGTCCCAGTTGCCCCTCTTCCAGGCCAGCTCTCTGCTGTGGCCTGGGAGTGCAGTGGAGGATGACCCAAGTGCTTGGGCCCTGCACCCGCATGGCAGACCAGGAGAAGCACCTGGCTCCTGGCTTCAGATCAGCGCGGTGCGCTGGCCGCAGCAGCCATTGGAGGGTGAACCAATGGCAAAGGAAGACCTTTCTCTCTGTCCCTCTCTCACTGTCCACTCTGCCTGTCAAAAAAAAAAAAAAAAAAAAAGACAAATTGCCTATTCTAGAACCATTAGTATTAATAGTAATGAACTAACATGAAAGGTCTACATTTTAAAAAAAATGTTTACTTTTTGTTACCAGCGCTGGGCCAGGCTGAAGACAAGAGCCTGGAATTCCACTGGATCTCCCATGTGCATAGCAGGGACTCAAGCACTTGGACCATCAACCACTGATGCATTAGCAGGAAGTTGGATTAGAAGTGGAACACTCTAGACAAGGGACGGGGGTGTTCCCAGGAGTGCTTAACCCACTGTGCCACAACACGCACACCACACCAGGGTCTCCTAGTTAACTAATGATGCTATTGCCCTTGTGTTCCTAGTTAGTATTCTCTTCCATGGGATGCACATTCTCTCTGGAAAAAAAAAACAGACACAGAGACAGCTAAGACAATTTTTAAAAGAATTCCTCCTTGTAGGTTCTCTCTGTCTACCACACTTTTATCTTAGATTGTCTTTTTTTTTTCTTTTTTTCTTTTTTTTTTTTTTTTTTTTTTTTTTTGGCCAGGCAGAGTTAGACAGTGAGAGAGAAAGAGACAGAGAGAAAGGTCTTCCTTTTCAGTTGATTCACCCCCCACAAAAGGCCGCTACGGCTGGCATGCTGTGCCGATCCGAAGGCAGGAGCCAGGTGCTTCTCCTGGTCTCCCATGGGGTGCAGGGCCCAAGCACTTGGGCCATCCTCCACTGCACTCCCAGGCCACAGCAGAGAGCTGGCCTGGAAGAGGGGCAACCAGGACAGAATCCGGCGCCCCGACCAGGACTAGAACCTGGTGTGCCGGCGCCGCAAGGCGGAGGATTAGCCTAGTGAGCCGCGGCACCAGCTAGATTGTCTTCTTAGAGTATAAACTACTAGCCTATTTCTCCTCATCTAGTCAACTTATGTGTGGTAATTCCTTTAGACTGTGAGAACATTTGCTGATATGCTGGTTGCTTCTCACATTTTCCCTCCTTGTTAATGCCTCCATAAATCCTCTGTCTTGTCATCATACTTTCTGCTTGTCCTAACAATTAGAATGTCAAGGTAATATTCTAGAAAACAGAAGTATCATAGACATTTTTCATGTGCTCATGCTAAACTGATCTTGGTGTTTTTCATCTCTACTTAAAATTGGCATGTTTTGTGGAATCAGGTTCTTCCTATGCCATACAATGTGGTACAATGTAATATTCATAAACCATCTTCTCAAATGCCTGTGAGTTAGTCTTCTTCGTGAAATAAAGAGCTAGTGATATCATTGTTCTTTTTTCTATACTGGTGAAATTAACATTTTCTCATTTTACCTCCTGAATACAAAAATGATTAGACGTTTGAAAGATATTTTCTTACAGAAATAAATCAATTCATTTTCCTCTCAACCATAAGCCAAATCTTCCTGGGAATCCTGCACTTTCTTTTACTCCAACTGCTCCTTTTCTTTAGTCAACATTTCAGAGAGGATTGGCTTTGATATTATAATGTCTGTGCCTAACCATGGATGGCGGAGGCACAGAACTTCCAATCCAACTTTTCTGTGAAAGAGTTGCTGTCTGACATTTCACAATGATCTCCAGGAACCCACAAGGCATGTGTTTATTTTAATATACAAACTATGGACAGAAGATAACTGACCTTGAGTGGATCATTAAGACAACTCCAGACGAGGCAGCCACAAGATCACCAGGGCCAGTTCTGGGCTACTGCAGCCCAGAACCACGTTGTACATTCTCAGTTAAATGCTCATTTCATGTAGGCCTCCTCCTTCTTTCATTCCCCACAGTGGCTCACAAGTTTTGCATGGCTTCAATTGAGACCTGAAACAATATTTTTCCCCAGAAAGACTACTCTTACAGAAATATTTATCTTGGGTTTGCTTATAATCAACAACTCTAACTATATGTTCCTCTTTTTAAAACTTTCTAAAGCAATTATTCATTACAATTCTTAATTGTTCTGTATTTCACAATCTTCAATTTTGAGGTCCAAGATTTGGCCTGAGAATTTACTGTTGCTCTTATATCAAGCAGTAACAAAATAACTCTACCTGGTAGAATTCAAAATGTACGTGTCCCTCACATTCACTGTGACTAGACCTACTTTAAGTAATGCTCAATACTTTGTTAAGAAAACAACTGTGTGATGACAATTTAAAATCTGAGAAAAGTAAAATTTCTATCCGGAAAAAAAATTATTTCTCGTCACACCTTTTTTCTTTCTGTTAAAATTTTCCATTGAGGGAAAGTTTTTATCTGTAGTTTTTGAGGTTAGTGAGAACTTTTTATTTTTGTAAATTTATAATCTATAAGTAGTTTGTGCATCCACAAGCATATTTTACATGGTTTTAATTTTTTGGTTGTTTTTGTATTTGTCATTATCAGTGCATAGCCTTCAAATTTGAAATGGGCTCCCAAAGACATTTGCTGTGGTGGGTATAGTGTCAACTTTCCTTTAATTATTCGGTGCCAACTGAATTTTGCTATTCAAAATATAGGAATATGTATAATTATGGTGAAAATTAAAATAATACCTGAATCAATTTCCTGTATATTCATTTTAATGTGAAAAAATGAATGGGAATATTGAAAGGATTTGCATTACAGGATGGTGCCCTGTTCTCAAATATCTCTTACCATAGCTGTGGAAAATTCGGTAAGCTTAAGCCAATATGGTATTTTTCCTATGCCATGACTTTCTCCATGCCCTGAGAGACCAAGCCAAACTAAAAGAAACTCAAATGTTATGTGCTGTTATTTAACACATAGCAAGGGCTTTTAAAATTAGGATATTATAAGAAAGCAGTGCTGAATCATTTTTGTTTCATAAGCCAAATATACCATGATTTTAAATTTTATTTAGTTTTGAATAAGGTATTATCCTGAATTTATACAGAGATTATTATCTTACTTGCACTACCTCCTTTTTTCCTTATTCATCCATGTTGAGGTTTTTGTCTCATTATATTTTAGTTAAGCTGAGTAAATTAAATACTTTTTGAAAGGAGGAATTCTGTGGATAAACTAAATAGATTTTGATAAATAAATTATGAATTGTAGGGCAATCTGTAAGAAAGTTATGAACTACAGAGCAATACATCTTGTAAAAGTACATCTCCTGATACCTCAGAAATCTGAATATAGACCTACCATATGACCCAGCCATCCCACTCCTGGGAATTTACCCAAGGGAAATGAAATCAGCATACGAAAGAGTTATCTGCACCCATGTTTATTGCGGCTCAGTTCACAATAACTAAGATATGGAATCAACCCAGATGTCTGTCAATTAAAGACTGGATAAAGAACTTATGGGATATGTATACCATGGAATACTACACAGTAGTAAAAAAAATGAAATTCTGTCATTTTCAACAAAATGAATGAAACTGGAAAACATCATACTTAGTGAAATAAGCCAGTCTGAAAAGGGCAAATACCATAAGTTCTCCATGATCTGTGATAACTAATAGAGTACCTAAAAGGTAATCTATAGAAGAGAAGTCAAATTCACACTTTGAGATGCAATGACTTTGAATGGCCTTTGTCTCAACTATTGAGGAGTAGGGTTTTTTTTCCATACTATTTGTTGAACTCTTCACTAGTATAGAGCTAATTGTATGTGTATAAAGTTAACTGAAAATAGATCTTAGTAAAAAATTAGAATGAAATGAGAGAGGGAGGAGGAAGTGGGTGGAAGTGTGGGTGGGAGGGAGGGTACAATGGGAAGAATCACTATGTTCTTATGTACTTATGAAATGCATGAATTTTGTATTCCTTAAATAAAAGGTTTATGGGGAAAAATAAGTACATCCCCCTTTGGTAGGAATTTATGCCTGTGTTTTAGAAGTTGGAATATTTTCCTTTAAAGGGCACTTACAGAATACAGATTCTAGATATGCAGTGACATCCTTCACCCAAACCAAAACCCAGGGCTGTAAGCTCATTCAATATCACTTGTGGGTGATGTTTAGTTCTAAGCATCCTTAGTGGGATTAAAAGTCACAGGTGTGGGGCTGGTGCGGTGGCACAGTAGGTTATTCTCTGCTTGCAGCACCACCACCCTATATGGGCGCCATATCTTCTATGGCCTGGGAAATCAGTAGAAGATGGCCAAGTCCTTGGGCCTTTGCACCTGCATGGAAGACCTGGAAGGAGCTCCTGGCTCCTGGCTTTGTATTGGCTCAGCTCCAGCTGTTGCGGTATTTGGGGAGTGAACCAACCGAAGGAAGACCTTTCTCTCTGTCTCTCCCTCTCACTGTCTGTAACTCTACCTCTCAAATAAATAAAATATTTTTTAAAAAGCCATAGGTGCTATGTTTCTGAATCCTGACACAACAGGCAAGCAGGGTACCTGCTCCCCCACCTCCAAGAGGGACAGCAGAGTCTTCCCCAGATGTCCTCTTGCTCTGCTCATGTCTCAAAATGGCCAAGAAATCCCCCAAGAGCAAACAGCAGGCATGATCTTTTGAGCTAACAACAGCACTTGGCCATCAAAGTTAGGGCATATATGGAGCAAGTTAAAGAAAGAAAATGTTAAAAGTTATCAAAATGGGCCGGCGCCACGGCTCACTAGGCTAATCCTCCACCTGCGCCGCTGGCACCGCAGGTTCTAGTCCCGGTTAGGGCACCAGATTCTGTCCTGGTTGCTCCTCTTCCAGTCTAGCTCTCTGCTGTGGCCCGCGAAGGCAGTGGAGGATGGCCCAAGTGCTTGGGCCCTGCGCCCTCGTGGGAGACCAGGAGGAGGCACCTGGCTCCTGCCATCGGATAGGCGCAGCGCACCGGCCGTGGCGGCCATTTGGGGGGTGAACCAATGGAAGGAAGACCTTTCTCTCTGTCTTTCTCTCTCACTAACTCTGCCTGTCAAAAAAAAAAAAGTTATCAAAATGTTTGAGCCCACAAAATATCTCATAGGCAGATTTTTTAATTTACTCTTTTCTTTTTTGAGTTAATATTTATAGCTACTTAACCCAATAAAGGCATGATACATATGCTGCACAAGTGCACATAGAACCTTCACAGAAATAGATTAGTACATGCTTGGCCATAAAACAAGTCTCAGTGCATATAAAAGATTAAAAAATACAACTGATACATTCTGACCAAAAGAGAAGTAAGTAGAGATCATCAGTAATAAGATAATCAGCCAGCCCTGGCTGTTTGCATGCATTTGGGGAGTGAATGAATGAATGAAAGATCTTCTCTCTCTCTCTCTCTCTCTCTCTCTCTTGCTTTTTTTTTATTTGACAGGTAGAGCTATATACAGCGAAAGAGACAGAGAAAAATTCTTCCTTCTGTTGGTTCACTCCCCAAATGGCTGCCACTGCCGGCGTTGCACCCATCCAAAGTCAGGAGCCAGGTGCCTCCTCCTGGTCTCCCATGCGGGTGCAGGGCCCAAGCACTTGGGCCATCCTCCACTGCATTCCCGGGCCACAGCAGAGAGCTGGACTGGAAGAGGAGCAACCAGGACTAGAACCCGGCGCCCATATGGGATGCCAGCCCTGCAGGCGGAGGATTAACCAAGTGAGCCATGGCGCCAGCCCCTCTCTCTTGCTTTTAAGTAGATTAAAATGGTTTTTTTGAAAGTGAAAACTCCAAAATAATTAAACAACACACTTCTAAGTAAGTCACTGGGTAAAAAAGAAATCATAAGAGAAACTAGAGCATATTTTATTTACTCTTCTATAAATAAAAACGTGACTGAGGATTAGTATATTTCTAAAACAAAAATGCATAAACCTTGTTTCAGAAACGGGTCTTAGAAAGAATGCAATTTTTTGTACATCATCTGAAGATTGTTCAAATCCCTTTTGATAGTACCAGTTAGGGAAGTACTAAGCCTGTGGAGATATATGCTGTTCTTTTTTCCTAACTGGCAGTCATGTTAATGAAGGTATGTGATCTAGCAGGGGTTTTATTGTTGAGATAGTTCAGAACTGTTCTTTGAAAATAAGCAAATGCTTTTTAAATTAACAATATTTATAAGACCAGTTTTACTCTGAAGATGTAAATCACTCAGTTGAGTCCACTAGGAGCTGGTCTCTTAGCTTTTTCCATTTTTTTTTTTTTTTTTTTTTTTCGTCAGTGTGTTGACAAAAGATGTTTGCTTGCTACAATTAAGGAAAGAGTGGTTCTTATTTTCAGCAGAGGCTCATATCAGATTTATTTCCGACAAATAATAGTGTTAACAGACTTTCAAATAACTGTCAACAATCACCTTAAACCAGTGCAACATGGGTTGCTGATACCTGAAACTTCAACTGCTTATAAAATCCCAATCTTCAAAAGTAGTGCCTATGGGAGCACTTGTCTCTCAACGCCATCGCCAAAAACAATAAGCTAGATTCTCAACTCAAAGAGCTCTTTTCTTCCTTTGAATCTCACAGAATGAAAAATCTGACCCCCTATGTAAATATTCACTAGCCCATCTTTTGAGAACTACATTGGATTGTATGCAGTTTGCGCTGAGTTTTTTCTTTCTTTATCACGTCCAACAGAGAACTCTGAGTAACTCAGTCCTGACAATGCCACCATTTTCCAGGATGCCTGCCAAGCGAGTACTTAGGAGGACGGTCTTCAGACTGTGGGGAGCGTGGTATCCTCTATCTAGGGACCAGACACGATCCAGGAAGCTCCCGGGAGGCCAGGCTCTGTTACCTGATAGTTCTTTTCCACTTCTCGCTACCAAGATATCTGGAGTTTCCAAGGGGTTAATATTTCAAGTTATACAGATGAATACACTGCTTTAGCAGCTTCCTTGAAATTAGCACGCTGTATTTTTATTGGTTTTGGTTACTTATCCTCAGAAATGTTGTCTCATT